CTGGGCGGGGGGTGCTGCGGGAAGGCGGGGGACCCGGGACGTCCAAGTGTGTAAGTTTGCCGTACTCTCCTAATGTCAGAATTTTGGTGCCGTCTCCGCGCGAATCTTCGTGCGTGTGCGGGTGTGTGTGCGTGTGCGCGCGCGCGGGTGTCCAGGCCAGGACCTACCCCCACCCCCAAGCCTTTCTTTCCACCGCTTTCTCCGCGGTACCGGGGACTTCGCCGGAGTTCTCAGTATTCGCGAGGCGAGTCTCTCCCTAACGCGCAGCCCAGTGTAAGCGCCGGGAGCCTGCGTCTGCCGAACGTACTCAGAAATGGTCTCTGGAAACAAATGTTTTGGTGACTCAGCGCCCGCCGTTCCTCTGTAATAATCCATATAAATAGATTAACACGCTCCGGTTCGCGGGGGCTGGCGCGGCTGGTCGGGGCTCTGCTGCGCTTTTGCACAGGGAATCAATGAAAACCAAAGCTAGGTCCCCGCGGAGGCCGGCGCGGCGGCGAGGCCCCCCCGCGCTCTGCGCTCGCCGAGCCGTCCCGCACCCTCGCGACCTTGAACTCCGACAAGTCCTTCTCGGCCCCCTCCCAAGCCCCTGCCCCGCCAAAGCGCCTCGGTGACAGGGCGGCCGCTTTGACGGTCTGCTTCCACCTCCCGGCCGAGTCCCAGCGTCAGCAGGGACGTTTTGCCCTGGAAAGAGCGGGCAGGCGGCTCCGGCTGGGACCGACCGAGCTTCGCGAAGGTGGCCGTCCGGGGCCGGAGGCTGCGGCCGGTCGGTCGCTCGGTCTGTAAAAGGCCAAACAAATGGGCACCGCCGCAGACGAAAGGGGCCACTTCGGCGGAGTCCGCCTGCTTTCGCCCTCCTTTGCAAACACCTGGAGGGGCGCAGCGCCTGTCGCCCTCACTTTACAGTCCGGTCCTTTTGTGACTCGCGGACAGCTGGGACTTCTGCGGCAGGGCTGGAGGTGTCTGATGCGTTTCGAGTGTGATTTGAGCGCAATCTTTATGTTTACACGAATGTTTAGAGTCTGGTTGGGTATCTTTTTGCAGGCAGAAGAAAAACCTTAGTTGCCTGCGGGTATCTTGTCTTCAGAATCGCATATAAACTGTGGAAAACTCTCCATTTTCAGCTCCCCCCTTCCTGGCTCCCGCAAATATTTGCCTGGATTCAAATTTTTGTTATTGTGACTCGGCCCCGCATCCTATCAAAGACTTGTTTATTTCTAACTTGCAAATTGCGGACACTAGGACAAGATTTCAAAGACTGTTTTCCTTGAAGGATTTTTTTTTTTTTTTTAAATCTCGTTTTCTTCCGAAAAACTCGACATTCCTTATAGGAAACGAAACTCTCCAGAAAGTAGTAAGTTGCAACCCTGTTAAATAGTATTTACTTTTTAATAGAATGTAACTCACAGTGGTTGTCGTTGGTACCTTAGAGTTTGTTTCACAGGCAGTTAAGAGATCTCTCCATACAATAGTCTTGCGTTCATGGCTTCCCTATACGATGGGAAAATATTAGAAAAAATTCCTTCCTTTTCGGGGGGAGACAGTCCCGCGTAGTATGCACTGATTTGTGTCCGGAGGGGACATTTGTGAGGATAACTAACTGTGTGATTCGCAGACACCTGACCCAGAAGGAGGCTCAGAGACCAGAACTGGGGGCAGAAGTTTTAACCAAGGCGCCTATATTTAGTTGTATTTTATTGTGATTCCCACGTTTACTGACATAACAGGCAGCGAAGACGACTGAGGCTTGGAGATATTTTTGGAATATTTCACTAAAATATTGGTTTAGAAAAATACGTACATATAAAAATATATCGTAATACAATTAGGTAATAGGACGTAAATAATATATAGCATTTTAACTAGTAAGTTACGGTACTGGATCCATTTTCTGTTGGTTGGATGCAAGCATTTTGTGTCCTTGTATCTTTTTGAAAACAGGATAAACAATCAGTTGACTTAAAAAAATGGACTGCCGTTCTCAGCTGCATCCGGAGGGGGCGCCAAAAGCCCAGAAACTGTCTTAACGCTCCGAACCGCCGGGCGTTTGACCCGCGCTGGTGGAGAGGGTGGTGCGTTCCACTCAGTCAGAGCTGCTTTGCTGCTGGGATTTACCTCTGCAGAAATCCCTACACGATAGATATTCCTTCCGTGAGCACCCACCTCTGCGCAGCCCAGTTAGGGGACCTGGGAGGTGCGTGTCTATAGAGGACTCAGCAGATAAAAAGAGCATCCTAGGTGCCTGACATTTCTATTCTGCACAGAACGCGGAGACCGAGGCCACGGGAAGAACCCCCACCCCCACCCCCACCCATCTCCCAGGTGCCAAGCGTTGCCCTCCGCTAGGCGTGCCAGGACCAGGCCGAGTCTGACGCGTGGGCACCATCGATTAGCCAGTGGGCGGTCCCGTGTCTCTGCTGGGGCCTGGGTGCCAACTCCCCCACCCCCTTTCAGGTACTCGGTTGGCTCCCCTATGACTTTTCCCGGTCGCCCCTGACTTCGCCGCCTGGCCCCGGGAAGACACTCGCAGTCTCCCACCTGAGGACCTGAGTCAGACAGAGCCAGGGAGAAAGGAACCCTTCCCCAGAGTTGAGGTTATAGATGGGGAAACTGAGGCCGCTGGCCCAGTGTTAGCCAGAGCCTTCTGCCAGGTGCTAAACGCGTCGGGATCCAGAGTCTGGTGGGGCCGAGGGCGGGAAGGGGCGCTGGTCAGAAAATGGACAGGCAACCGGCGGCCCTGCGCACGGAGGCGACGGCGCGCGCTGGGTCCCGGCACCTGAGCCAGCGCCGCGAGGTCTGCCGCCGGGCGCGGAGACGCGGAGGTGCGAGTGGATCCCAAGGGGAACCTCGGGAAGCCGAGGTCTGGGGTCCCCCCCTTCTCTTTCTTGCGGCGTCCGGGGCCGGGGCCGGCGCCGGGCTCAATTTCTCCAGCCGCGGCCGCCAATCTCCCTCCGCGTCTACGCGGGCGCCGAGGCAGGAACCCAGAGTTGGCGCAGAGCGAGTTTCTCCCCCTCTGCGGGGCGGTGCAAACACGCGGTGCTAACACGCAGTGCAAGGGGATGGGGGCTCCATCCCGGGGTGGGGGCGAGCGGTGTGGTGGATGGGGTTCCCCATACCTGAGGAATTAAGGATCACAACCTCCCTTCCCCAGATTTCCTTAGCAAAAGCGGGGACCGTGTCTAAATCCGTTTTCAGCAGGGATGCGCGTCCCTAGAAGAATTTGGGTGGGGTGAGCAGCGGAGTCTCCCAAAGGTCTCAGCCCTGGGGACACCCTTCTCCTGCCAAGTCCCCGGGGCTCCGTTCCCTGCAGATAGAGACCCTAGCCCCGCGGGGCCTCAGGTCCGCGCGCCGCGCTCCCG